ATTTTTCTTCTTTCTTCTTATCATTCGTGCGAAATAAATAAATAAAGAATTTATTCATCCGTTATTATTATACACTTCTCGCTTCTTTAGAATATCCATGAACATTCTCGTCGATATCATATATAAATCGAGCAGTTTCTTATTTTGCTTTAAATCGCTCGTTAAATTTTTCGACACGTGTAACTCGATAATCTACGTTTATATCATTTATACGTAAAATATACGCAAAACATAGATAATATAAAAAAATATGTATTTGCATAAAAATCTAATTATCTTATATACGTTTCGAATCTTAGAACTTTGACTTTATACCTCACGTGCCAGCTGGAGAGGAACAATACTACGGTGGTTCGGTATCTCTAGCGGATTATTGTCCATACATTCAAGAGTTTACGTGGAGAGCTCGAAATATAGTAGTTAGAGGCTCTCATTGTCTCTACGAAGAGAACAATCCTCGTAAGTCTTTTAACGCTTATTAATAACTGTACCGTCCAATAATCCATTTTATTCCACGATAAATAGTATTTTTCATTTTTTGAAACGATATTTTACTTAATAATAATTCGTATCTCCCATTTAAAGAACAATATCTTTTTGATATCTTTTTAATATATAACTTTTAATTTAATGAAATTACTTAACGTTGATATTATTTAAACGAGTTTATTTTTTACATCTTACACTTAGTAGTAATATAAATATGGTGTAATTTTTGGTTAATTTTTTGTATCAAAAAGTAAAACGTGATTCGTTAATCGGATTGTTTTCTGTCAACAGATCCGGACAAAAATTTTGCTTTAGAAAAATATGGTCCACATTCGAGATGCTTCGATCATACGAATCAAATGTGGGAAGAAAGAACGTGTAAACAAGCTAGGCAATGGCAACATTGGGGTTCCGGATGTTATCGATATAAATGTGAAGTTGGTAGATTACATATTATAGTCAGTATCAGAAAACCGTTTTACAATCTTCTTTATTATTAACACGTTTATAATCCGTTTTCCTTCTCTTTAACATAGCCTATCGTATAAATTTCGATATATCTCATTTTTTTAGGTCGCAAATTACACGTATACGTGTTATCATGCTGGCCAAGAAATCGCAATTAGAATAATACAAAATGATTGGCTTCATAAAGGAGCTCTAATTTGCCCTCCATGTAGAGACATTTGTCAGGTGAGAATGAATATTATTCGATTATTCGAATTTAATTTACAAATATATCGGATGCATCGCGATAATACAATTTATTAATTTGTTAAAATTTATAAAAATATCTTCCATAACGAAGGTTGCATCGACGAGAAATAAAATAAATAAAATAAACATGAGAGAAAGAATCTCGTGCGTCTTTACTCGCGCCACTTGTGTAACAGACTAGATTCTTAAATTCGTTTCATGTTTGTTTGCTTTTCTGTTACAGGCGGAATTAAAAGAGAAACACGAATATTGCAAGCCGGGAGATGAACATCCACCGCCAACGTATTATCACAGAGACAATTTGTATTGTGCATCCGCGGCAAAATTGACGAATTTATCGCCATTCCTTACTTTAATTTATTTCTTCGTTTTTAGATGATATGTCGTGGAACCTAGGCAATATTTTCATCGATATTAAAACTAGGTTGACAAATTATAATAACGCATCGTTAAAACGTCGTTTCCGAATTCGGAAACTTTCGAATTACGCGATGATACGTACGTAAGTACTAGCAAGTACTGCTCGTCTAACCACATGATTCAATATCTTTGAAACCACGTACGTGAAACGTTTCGCGATACGATTCACGTATCTCAACCGAGGTGACAATTCTATTTTGACCATTTATCGTGTAAAAAGTATTTTCTTAATAATTTTATACATCAGCAAATATAAAAATACGCAAAATACGAGTTTAAGGTAACTTTAAACTCATATTTTACATTTTGCATTTTGTTTTTGTTAAAGTCTTTGGAAAAACTGACACGGACATACACTTTTTACCATTGGTTAATATTCGATCTCCTGTCCGTACTCGTAACGTTAAAAAAGGCTACAATTTCGCTCGTTTATAAAATGGCGATAAAAAAATATC